GAAATCATTTCCACAATCAGAAAACGTTCCCTTTAAACTCAATTTTATTTTGCTTGCATGCTCTCCTGTGTGAGCGGGAGTGGGGTGGGGCGTGGGATGGGGATGTGCACTTTGCCTTTTAGCATGCTTGTATTAGATAATAGGAACTGAGATAGACTTTTAATGTGAAGTTTTGTCTTTAACTGGCTGGGAGTTAAGCTGTGTTAACTGCTCTAGTTGTTGGTTTCAGTGGCTTCAGTCTCCTCTAGTGTACTTTGATTTTACTTTTTGTCTTTTCTGTTGCCCTTGGCTTTCCTAGAAAGTCCTTAAGTAGAGTCTGAGCCTTGCAGAATTTCCAGCTGTGTTCCTGCTGTTGTATGGTAGCCCTGTTGATGTATTTTGTTGGGGAGAAAAGCGTTCTGAAAACCTATAATGAGGTTCCAGTCATTCAGTGGATCTGTGACCGTCTGCTGTGATTTTCACAAGTCTTTCTCAGTTTTGCACCCCTTCGTCGTGAGACAGAAGGTTCGCAGTGGCTAGCATTGTGTAATTTTCCTTTCATCACGTTGGATAAGGCTGTGGAGAAGCCTTCTTCTTTTCTGTGTAGGTCTTTTTTTTTTTTTTTTTTTTTTTTTTTTTTTGAGATCATTCTGGATTTCTTTGAAAATGATTACCTTTCCCTTGTGTACATTTCCAAATGGTTACTTTTTCCTGTCCCCTAGCCAAACAAAAAGTAATTTTTCTCTGATCTTCATTAGGAGACCTCAGTAAGGTCCCTGTAGATAAAAACCCATCAAAATATGTGGTCCTTTCCCAAGCTGGGCACCTGGGAGTTTTCACCTGTCAAGCTTATCCACCCTCAGCTTGCAATAATTCACTGAAGCTTGTTCAGAGGATCCAGTGGCTTCTGCTTCAGGTAACTGATCTGTATTCCCAGAATTCACTTGTTTCTCCAGTTTTCAGAGTGGTAGCTTGTCCAGTGACCTCAATTCTCTGATGGGGTTTTAGAAAGTGTTTTTTCAGTTTGTTTGGCTTTTTGTTGTTGTTGTTGTTGTAAGGGTGGAAATTATAACTTGTAAAGCACTTCACATATTGGAAGAGAAGCAGGAACCTAAAGGTGATTTTTAAAGTAACTTAAAAATTATTTGTTTAAGAAAAATCTTGGAATAAAATATATATTCAAGGAAGTATAGTAAATATGGCCTAGAAAGTTTAGTATTTCTTGCCATTTTTCATATTATCTTGAGAGTACTTACTGTCTGTATCCAGGCTGTTCTGAGTTAAATTAATGTGAATATAATAAATAATTATTGAAAAACATTCTGTGCATAACAACAGTTTACTCCGGTTCACTTTTGAGCAAGAGGCAGCTTCCTGGTTGAATCCAGAGACATCTGGCTTTAGATCTTTCAGTTTTATATGTGACCTTTGAGTCATTTATTGAATTACAGAAAGGAGGAAAAAGAGTAAGATGTTTACAAGAGAAAATATTGTAATTCATAATGAAAATCCACAAGGATCCCCAGAACAGCCATAAGAAAAACTCTAGGTGTAATTTTTTTTTAAACATATATGATTATAATAAATATTAATAATTTGCTGTGCTTGGGACCACTGTTTTTCAAAACAGAGAAACATCTAAGTAATTCCAAAGGAAGAGAAATTTCTTCATGAATACCAGAAATATAAATGCTTAGTGGATCAGAAATAAACAGAAACACAATATAATATTGTCTACTGTAAAAAATATCAATTATAGCTTACAGACGCCTTTTCCTAAAATTCCAATCCATAAATTTGCTTTAAGAGTTCAGAATTAATAATTTTTAAGGCATAATTAATCATTTTCATATATGATTTCCTGTGAAAAATAATATTTCTAAGACCTACTAAGAGCTTCTAGCCAGTAAATTATTTCAGTTAAATATTACCTTTTGGAGGCTAAGTTATAAACCAAAGAAACATTGGTGTGGTGCTGTAAAATATACAAAGCAACTACTCTTATGCTAATATTCTAATAACTAAAATTTTTACTAAAACTATCATTTTAATATCCATCTACAATTTTTAAAAATTCTACTTTTTAAATAAATATTTCTTATTAGGAAATTTGCATTTACTTGTCAAATATAATATTTATAATGTAATTCTTAATAGCTAAAGATTCAATTTTCTTGTAAGGAAAACAAAAGTGAAAAATGTTTATTTTTTGATGCAAAAAAACCCAATTCTTATGAAAGTGTTCTAAAACCACTGTGCTCCCATGACAAAGGTGCTTAAAAGTAGAATAAGTACTGCATTTTTAAATCTAAGGTGTCCTATTTTCAATGTAAAATATGTTAAAGTTTATCCTCGAAGGTAAATTATTTTGAAAAGGAGATTTGTTTTGTATTGCATGGCAAAATTAATGTTAATTGTGATTATGCAATGTGTCTTAAGTTTATATTCTAAATCCAGTCAAAGCAGGGTAAAAAGCAAACAAATAGTGTATCTTTATTTCAATTTTTTCTTTTTGTTTTCTTCTTTTTCCCATGATTTGCAGAAATTGGGTCAATAATTTTATGAGTAGTTTAGAACTTTAATATTCTCTTTGTATGTGTTTACCAAAAAGTCTCATTCCAAATTTCCCTTTAGAATTGTCTCTGGTGTGTATCTGATTTTAGGTCAAAGGATGTCCTCATTCTCTTGATTTTTCAGCAAGTAGTAAGTAATGGAGTGATAAAAACCCTTAGGAATATCTTTTAAAAAAGATCAAAGTTAAAGATAAAGGGTGGGCGTGGTGGCTCATGTCTGTAATATTAGCACTTTGGGAGACTGAGGTAGGTGGATCACCTGAGGTCAGGAGTTCGAGACCAGCCTGGGCAACATGGTGAAACCTCGTCTCTACTAAAAATACAAAAAATTAGCTGGGAGTGGTGGTGGGTGCCTGTAATCCCAGCTACTGAGAAGGCTGAGGCAGAAGAATCACTTGAACCTAGGAGACGGAGGTTGCAGTGAGCCAAGGTCGTGCCATTGCACTCCAGCTTAGGCAATAAGAGCGAAACACTATCAAAAAAAAAAAAAAAAAAAAAAAAACTGCAGATAATTTGGATAAATAGAGAAAATAACACTGAAACCCAGTTTAAACGGACAAAATTCATAGTGCATAGAGAAGTTCATTTCCCTTATCATTAGTGATATTAGTGATGTTGATCATTTTTTCATGTGTTTCTTAGCTATTTCTATATCTTCTTTTGAGAATGGTCTATTCATGTTGTTGCCCCACTTTTTGATAGGATTGTTTGTTTTTTTCTGATTTGTTTGAGTTCTGTTGTAGATTTTGGCTATTAGTCCTTTGTCAGATGAATAGATTGTGAAGATTTTCTCCAAATGCAAATCAAGACTACAATGTGATACCACCTTACTCCTGAAAGAATGGCCATAATCAAAATATTGATAAAACAATAAATGTTGGCATGGATGTGGTGGTCAGGGAATACTTCCACACTGCTGGTGGCAAGGTAAACTAGTACAGCCTCTATACAAAGCAGTGTGGTGATTCCTTGAAGAACTAAAAGTAGAACTGCCTTTTGATCCAGCAATTCCACTACTGTGTGTCTACGCAGAGGAAAACACATCATTATTGAAAAAAGATACTTGCACATGCATGTTTATAGCAGCACAATTCACAATTACAAAATCATGGAACCAACCCAAATGCACATCAATCAATGAGTGGATAAAGAAACTGTGATTGATATGTATATATATATATACACATATATACACACACACACACACACACACACAGTGGAACACTGCCCAGCCAAAAAAGGAATGAATTAACAGCATTTGCAATGACCTTCATGAGACTGGAGACTATTATTCTAAGTGAAGTAACTCAGGAATGGAAAACCAAACATTGTATGTTCTTACTGATATGTGGGAACATAAAGGCATAAGAATGATACAATGGACTTTGGGGACTTGGCGGGGAAGAGTGGGAGGAGGGCAAGGGATAAAAGACAACATATATGGTGCCGTGTATACTGCTCGGGTGATGGGTGCACCAGGATTTCACAAATCACCATTAAAGAACTTGCTCATGTAACCAAATATCACCTGAACTCCGATAACTTATGGAAAAATAAAATAAAATAATAAAAAGAAGTTCAAACTGAGAAAAGTAGCAAGAAATGCAAACAGAAAAAAATGTTTGCCCAGTAATTACATACTTCTGACAATGAATATTAGCAGACTCCTCGCTGACTTCTCTTTGTTTAACAAAATTAGTTGTACAATTATTTAACATGGCTAATTCTGATACCTAATCCCAGAGAAAGCAACATTTTTGTGTACAGTTAATAGTATATTTCTTGAAAGGCAAAGAGAGATATAGAACCTCCTTCTAGTATTGTCTTGATGGCGTTCAAATCAAAAGACGAATATGGAGCTCTCGACTAACATATCCTTACGGATTTAAGACAATTAATCATTAGTAAATATGTAAAGGAATTAGCTTTGATCTTTGGTAATAATAAGATCTTGATGATGATAACCATCGGATATTGTGGTGAGTAAAATAATTAGAAACAAATCCAGAAATAAAATTCAAAGACAGTATAAATAAAATTCAGAATTTATACATATGCAGTAAAAGAAAAACACTGGGGAATCAATTTCACTCTATTTCTATATCTGAGCCATGAACAGCAAACCTGTCTTCATTTTGGATGCTTTTGTCAAAAGGAATATATACAACACTGCAAATTATCATTCAAGATTATCTGAACTATTCTGAGAATATCAATTCCAGGAGTTATTTAGGATAAAATAAGAGTTCAACATCTTTCTTTTGAAAGAAAATTCTTTAGCATTTTTTTCAATATGAATTTATAAGTGATAAATATGATAGTTAATTATTATGTGTCATTTTGGCTAGGTCATGACACATAATTTTTGGTCAAACCAAGTCTAGATATCGCTGTGAAGATAATTTTTAGATGTGATTAACATTTAAGACTTTGAATAAAGCATATTACCATCCATAATATGGCAGGCCTTGTTCAGTCAGTTGAAGGCCCTAAGAAAAAAGACAGAGGTTCCTTGGGGAAGAAGCAGTTCTGTTTCAAGACTGCCTCTGGACTCCAGCTTGCAATGCCAACTCTTCCCTGGGTCTCAAGCCTGTCAGCCTACCTTGAATATTTTGAACTTGCTAGCCCTCACAACCACATGAGCCAATTCCAGTCACAACTCCTCAGAACAGAAATTCATGAACTGAAACCTCCTCAGGATCCATCCGTGGAATGGAGGAAGTGAAATGTTAAGTGATTAATTGCTGAAAGCTCAGTGTGGTCAACTCTGAAAGCCGAAAAATCAAAGGGGGATGCAGTCATACAGAATACCACATACTTTTGTGAGCTTTACCTCCGGGTACTCAACCTAGTTACCACACTGAATATTGTAGAAAAATCCTCTCATGTTTTTAGGAGAAGGAAAAAAAGAGAAATCATTAAATCTTCTCATGTTTTCAGCTGAGGAAAAATAAGAGGAGGCCGGGCGCGGTGGTTCATGCCTGTAATCCCAGCACTTTGGGAGGCTGAGGAGGATGAATCACGAGGTTAGGAGTTCGAGACCAGCCTGGCCAACGTGGTGAAACCCCGTCTCTAGTAAAAATATAAAAAATTATCCAGGCATGGTGGCGGGTCCCTTTAATCCCAGCTACTCAGGAGGCTGAGACAGGAGAATAACCTGAACCCGGGAGGTGGAGGTTGCAGTGAGTCTAGATCCAGCTACTGAACTCCGGGACCGGAGACTCTGTCTCCAAAAGATCAAAAAAAAAAAAAAAAAGAACCATTTAAAAGAGGAATCATTTAAAAAATGTGCCAGAGCTTATGGAAGGGCAGTTTCTGTCCTTCTTAACTGGTCTACCTTCATGATAAACTATTTAAGCAGAACCTAACCTGCTGGAGTCCTAGCAGATCTTTACATTGGTAAGAAAGGGAATACTCATCTCCAGCCCACTTTCTCCATCCTGCTGCATGTAAGGAGTAGGGAAGGAACTGAGAAGCATGTGTGAAGGTCAGAGTCCTGAGGAACTGTAACACTGAAACAGCAAAAGAACTAACATAACTGTCCGGGGCCAAATAGCCCGGCCATAGGGCGTTGTTTTCTAGTGCCTGAGCTGCCTTGTATCTCACCCTTAAAGCCATCTCTATCACTATTCTGATGCCTGAGCTCTATAAGTTTCTACTCTATGCCTCCTCCCTAGATTTACTTTCCTCCCTGTACTGGTATCTCATACGGCAGTACAAAATGGCGCTCTTCTGGGTTCTTCACCACCCATCTCCCGCGCTCGGGAAGATGATAAACTTACAGCGCAGGCGCAATTCCGCGCCAGGGAAAATTACCAACCGTCGGCGCAGGCGCAACATGACGTCCGACTGAAGAAACCGAAACCTACCTGGCACCGCAGGGCCACCGTCATCGCCCTGGCCCAACCTCCGCCCCTGCTGGTCTATATAAGGCATTACGCTGCCACCAATAAACGAGACTTGATCAGGATACTGTCTTGTCTCCGTTTCTCGTGTCTGTTGTCCCCCCAGTTCCCACTCCCTCTTCTAGGATCTACGTTGACGATCCCGCGGGACGGGACACATAACTAATTCCACTTTTGTTTAAAGGCACTTTACTCATACCTGCAGGTACGACAGGATAATTTGAGAGCACTGAGAATATGCAAAAGGAGCAATCATGCTGTTTTTAAAACAAACTCTGGAATTAAAGGAGAAGTATGTCAACAACTATGTTTTATTCAAATATATAGGAGCATAATTGTGACCTGACCAAGGACAAAGTAGTTCCCAACCTCCTCAGACTCTCTATGGCACCCAGGTATCTGTGGTCATTGGTCATCTCTTGGTGCCAACCCCTGTTTCATCCCATCTCTCTTAACATAAAAGATGTCTGAAATTTGTGCCGACCTCAGAGAGTATCTTAGGATGCTAGTCCACCATGTGCTCGGTTTCCTGACTCTCCGAATAAACCTGCCTTTTCTCCCACTAACTCTCATCACTTGTGTTCGTCTTTGGAGCAGCAAGCAGCCAAATCTAGATTTGGTTACAATTTAGCGCCACCCATCATGGGGTTGTGTGCCTAAAAGCCTTCCGGGTTTTTAAGGAAGGAACAATTGGCCACTGGCAGCATGCCAGGACGTCACTCTGCTGGGGATAACAAAAAACACTCCTAAGTACCAGCTGCTGGTGGCTAGCTGACCCTGCAGCTAGAATTCCAGGGATATCCCAGCATCTGCTAAGAATGCGTCTGTCTTGGGGATTCTCGTTCTTTCCCCGTTCTCAGCATCAGCTGCCTGCAAGACTCAGTTGGTGTGAAGAAAAACAGTATCTGAGAGTTGACCGGCTCCAACACTGGGTAAGTCAAACCAGTGTGCACACTGGGAATCTTCTGTCTCTTCTGTTTGGGTTTTTGTGCCATTTGGACCTAGCATGGGTCATCTGCAGTACTGTTTGGTGTGATATAAGATGCTTAACGTCATCTCTTTAGTCTCTCTTTTACTTCGGGAGTGCTCTGTTTGTTTCAGTATCTGTGTTGTTAGTTTTAAATTGTTTAAAAACATGGAAAAGTTCAAAGGCATACTAGAATTTCTGGGACTCCATTTGATTAAATAGTATGGCCTACTTGTACACATTTTAAAACTAATGAGCAAATTACGATAAATAAAATTCAGAGCTCAAATGGTTAATCTGCAACTATAAAGTTAAGTAGGGTCTTCTAAAAGTCTCTATTTCTCTCTTGTTTCTGCCTACTTTGTATCTGCATTTATTAAGCTACTGGTGTTGAGATGAAAATCACTGATTCAAAGTTACTTGGAGATTTTGGTTTTCTTGGACAGTTCAGCCAGTTCTAGCTAAAATGTAAGACATTGGAAATTCATTTAAAACTGAAAAAAAAAAAAAAAAGGTTAGAGACATTTTTAAATCAAAAGTGCCATGAAAACTGCTTTGTCCAAAATTTTGATTCACGACCTTCATTGGATTACCTATCCGGAAAACAAAGTTTAGCCTCGTGGGCAGGTCCCAATATTTTCAGAAATAATTTGGATCTAGCCATCTTTTGCAGGCTGGTGAGTTTGTGATGTTGTCTCATGGCTAGAATTCCAGGTTAAAAGGTATTGAATCTCTATGCGGGTATACATGTGTAGAGGTATTTAGGTATATGTACATGTATTATGTTAGGTCTTGTGTTTAGAATGCTACCAAATTGGCTTCTAAGTAAATAATTACTTGTAAATTAAGTCCAAAAGTCTATCAAGTTCATGTGAATTTGGTAATTATTAGTAAATAATAATTGTTTTTAAATTACTGGTAAAATAAGAATGTTTTCAGAATTGTAAGCATAAATGTTTATCTGGGTTTCCTTATTGTTTTATATCTGTCTTTGCTAGATATTTTAAAGTGTTTGTATGGCACAAAGATTATAAGATTATAGATCCAGCCAAAAGCAGAAAATCTTTGTGTGTGTGTTTTGTTTTATTCTCTCTCTCTCTCTCTCTCTTTTTTTTTTTTGACAAATAAGACTAATGTAAGATTGTTCAATGAAAACAGCTGAATCTTCTGAGCTATCAGCAAAATACCCGTGTATTTAACTTCAAGACTCACATTCAGGTGAACAGTTGATGCTCACAGGCTTTAAAAATGGTTCATAGGAAAATAAGTTTAAATGATGACTAGCTTTGTCTAATATCTCAGTTTTCAAAAGTAATCTAGAAAAGCTATGAAACAATTGAGTACATGTAAATGGGATAAATTCTTGTAAGTGAACTTTCTGTATAATTTAAAATCTGAAAATTATTTTGAATTGAATAATAGATGCTCATTGGATGTCTGTCTGAGCATTTCCAGTTTAGAGAGGGTTATGATATGGGGAAACATGTTTCTAAAAATTATGTCTTGGTTTTATTTATGCAATGGTAGCATCTAACAGTTCAGAATCTCTTGCTTCCTTGTCACTAACACTTAAGATTACTAGGAATAAGAATTCTAGTTAATATGTAATTTTGTAAGTTGAGTTTTAATTAAGAAAATTTTTTTTTAATTAGAAGTTTATTTAAAGGTTATTTATAAAAGCCGGTAGAGAGGAACCAGTAAGTACAAGACAGTGATGTGAAGAATTCCTACGGCCAAGGGACTTGGAATCGAAAGACTTAGAACCAGTTTCAATGTTTTTAGTCTAGATAAGAATGGAGCTAGGCAAGTACACATTAATATTTAGAATCCTTTAAAGCAACATAAAAGCCAAAACCAAAAGCCAAAAAAGAAAGGTGACAAAATGACTTGTTTATAAGTTTTATGTGTTGGGCCATCAGATGTTTAGACATCTGTGGGCCTGTCTTTGATTTGGAGGGTCTGAACTAATTTTATCTCTCAAAACCAGATAAGAAGACCACTGAGCACGGACCAGTTCTGACCAGTTTACAGAGATTGTGCACTAGTGTGCTTTTGTGTCCTGAAAAAAGCCTTTTGACTAATAGGGCCTAATTGTAGCATATTTAAATGTTGTCTCCACCCCAAAGTAAAATGTGTTTTATGTTACAAGCATGTCTGTTGAATAAGCAAGTGTCAGGCCATCTTTATAAATATTCATAGCCCCTTCACTTGTTGAATATGTATGTTTAGTCAACTTGTATTCATATCTCACTGGAGCCCTGGGTACCATTGACAGTGGGGAACACATTTACTAACTTTCTTATGGATATGAGGGCCATATATTTTGTAGTTAACACCTGTCTATTCCCTGATCCAAATGAGAATATGATGGTTACAGAAATGCAAGGGAAATTTTGACTCACCACTTCCTATAACATTTAGATTGCCATGTTGGAGACCGTAATTGCTAGTAAAATCTAAAAAAGATGAACTATAGTCTAAAAAGAAGGATTGCCAAAATATGTCAAGGAACTAATTTAACTTGGAATACGATGTTGTCATTTGCTCTGTTGTAGATTAGAATGGCTCCCTGAAGTGGGCACAAATTGAGTCCTTTTAAATTATTACATGATAGGCCATTCCAGGTTTCTGCTCCAGTGGAAAAAAATCAGCTAATACTTTAAGAAACATAGCAACTGGCAATATGTTAAGACTATAGGCACTGTATTAACTTCTGTCTATGAGTTTGTTTCTATCAGGACCACTCATCCCACAGATGTGGCACTACATCTTTTTTGACTGGGAGATCAGATCTTCCTAAAGAGTAAAAAAATAAAATGAAAAGAAACAAGAACCTAAACTTTCATTCCACAAACACTCCACATTAACCCCATTCAGCGCGTAAGTAGCCAGATGAGAGAAGATGCCTGATATACCTAATCTCATAAGACCATGAATGAGTCTTTGACAGTGGGAAATGCTAACAGTGAAACAGCAAAAGAACTAACACAACTAACTCAATTATTGTTCACGGGGCATTTACTTATTCCTGCATATAGGCTAGAATAATTTTAGAGCACTGAGAAAATATGCAAAAACAGCAGTCATGTAGTTTTTAAAA